GGAAGGGGGAAGCAAGAGGAAGAAGGGGGAGGGGAAGCTCAGGGTTGGGGGTCTGGCTGGACCAACTTGAGTTTCATGCAAACCTGCCCCTGGGTTCGCATGTGGCCTCATGTGGCCTTTGGTGGCCAGGCTGGCAGCTATCCTGCCACAGACGGCCTCATTCCTCCGTCTAGTGTGGAGATCATGGATGTTGGGGGTATCCCCCACAAACCTGAATAAGGTCCATGATCACCCTGGCCCAGGAATGCGCCCACCTTTTCCAGCCCCTACCATGGTCCTGCGAGTGGCAGACTGCTACCAGGGAGCGGTGGAGGGCTGGCTGCCAGTGGCTTGCTGGCTCACGTTTTCGGGCCCCTGGGTCAGGGGCCCCGGTGGCCACTGCTGGCTCTGGGCTGGCAGACTTGGAGCTGGCACATGAACTGTGGCCAGAGTCAACCCCTTTAAGAGCTTCGGGGAGGGGGGAGAGGAGAGGAAGTCCTGGCTGGGATGATTGAGTTCAGGTTAGTCCTGCCTTGGGCAAGAGGTTCGACTCGATGACTCCTGAAATTTCTTCCAGGCTTAGGATTCTGTGATTCTCTGCTGATTATTCTGCCTCTCGGGTTTTCAAAGAAACTGGCTCCACTGTGAGGAGATGGGGAAGTCACAGAAGGGATCAGAACAAACTTTTGCAACTTATAGTCACTCATTTCTCCCACCGCATGCTCCTCTCCATCAGGAGGGGGTAAGTAGTTTACTGCAGATCCATTTCCTCTCTGTGCTGCAACTGGAGCTGATGACTTTGACCTCTTTGTCCAGATAAACACAGTAAGCTCCTCCTTGTATCTGAAACCTGCAACCCAAAAGCATTAGGAGTGAGGGTTTGTCTGGGAAACTGGGAAGTTTCTGCTCAGTAAAGTGGCCTTTTGCACTGCAGTTCATGAGGTGAACATGCCACCCAGACCCTTCTTGTGCAGAAACTGCAGAGCTGAAAAAAAACAACAAATTGTCCTGCAGCACCTCAGTGAGGAACAAAACATGTAGCTGGGATCATGAGCTTTCATGGGCACTGTCTACTTCTTCAGATGACCGGAGAATTAAAACTTCAGATCCAAGAATAAATAAGGAAAGGGGGAGAAGGGTAGCCGGGGAGGGGGGAGGACGGGAAGAAAGGCAAAATAGTGAATTACATTGTTCAAGTTACAAGAAGCTGCAGAATCAGTACAGGAGACCCCTGGCAAGTAGGAGTCACAGAAGTGAGTTATTGGGGGTAGGAGGGTTCGTAGAATCACAGAACACTAGAGCTAGAAGGGATCTCGAGGGGTCATCAAGTCCAATCCCCTGCCCTCATGGCGGGACCAAGCACCACCTAGATCTGTGGTGTCCATCAAACTAGCTACATGTGGCTCATTGGCTAGATAAGCATGGCTAGTTCACTGTAACTATATTGGCTACTGCTTTACAACTGGTTGGAAGCCAATGGATCTAGATCATGCTTGACAGGTGTCTGTCCAACCTGCTCTTAAATATCTCCAGGGATGGAGATTCCACAACCCCCTTAGGCAATTCATTCCAGTATTTCACCACCTGGACAGGTAGGAAGTTTTTTCTAATGTCCAACCTAAACCTACCTTGCTGCACTTTAAACCCATTGCTTCTTGTGCTAACCTCAAAGGCAAAGGAGAACAATTTTTCCTCCCTCCTCCTTGTGACACCCTTTTAGATACTTGAAAACTGCTCTCATGTCCTCTCCCAGTCTTCTCTTTTCCAAACTAAACAAGCCTAATTCTTTCACTTTTCTTTCATAGCTCATGTTCTCTAGACCTTTCATCATTTCTGTTGCTCTTTTCTGGACCCGCTCCAATTCTCCTCAATCTGTCCTGAAATGTGTTGCCCAGAACTGGACACACGACTCCAACTGAGGCCTAATCAGTGCAGAGTAGAGCGGAAGAATGACTTCTCATGTCTTGCTCACAACACTCCTGTGAATGCAGCCCAGAATCATGTTTGATTTTTTTGCAACAGTGTCACACTGTTGACTCCTATTTAGCTTGTGGTCCACTATGACCCCTAGATCCCTTTCTGCCGTACTCCTTTCTAGACAGTCGCTTCCCATTCCGTGTGTGTGAAATGGATTGTTCCTTCCTAAGTGGAGCACTTTGCATTTGTCCTTATTAAACTTCATCCTGTTTACCTCAGACCATTTCTCTGGCTGCGTAAGGCCAGCTTGTTTCTGTGCACGGAGCTTGCAGGGAGGGATTTCAAGAAGGCTGCCATGAGTCTCGGTGGCGCATCTGCCACCATGTGCCTGGGCTGAGGGGCAGAACAGGGAGCTAATGGGTCTCCTGACTTCATAGGAATCTGCCTCAGAAACCAGCATAGATCTCTCAGGGAGATACTGGGTAATCCACTTCCAGGGGTTCCTTGGCAGAGCTGCTGTTTTCTTGCCCCACTGAGGATCATGTTCCCATGCCACTCGGCCTCACTGCATTGCTGCGCGTAGACCAGCCACATAAGAGAAGCAACACGGAGATTCGCCGCTGCACTCACAGCCCCTCAGGATCCCCCCCTCCCAGCACAGCCTCAGGCCCCACTCTCGGCAGGAGGGGAGGTGAAAGCAGCCAGTGGGGCATTTCCATCAACTCCCACCCAATGCAGAGAAAGAAACAGACTCACCGATGGTCGAATTCGGTGCCATTGACCCATCTCCAGACCCCAACTGTGTCCTTCCGGAGGCCGATCCAGTGGTCCAGTTTCCCTGGGTAGGGCAGCAGGGAACCCTTTCAAATACAATCGAAGCCGTCAGATGTTTTGGACCCTGGCTCTGTGCTGCCCCCATCCCCCAGGGAGTCTTGGGCAGCTGAGGATTTCTAGAGGCATCAGCCTTTGTGACAGAGATTAACATTTAACCCTTCACCCTGCCCAGACCTCCATTTCAGCGGCTATGGCATTAGCTGGGGTGAAGCAGGAATTGAGCGGCAAGGTCTGTCTGCCCAGCAGCCCCTTGTCAGGGCACAGCAGGGCTGGAGGAAGAAGAAGCTGGTGTGGGTGGAGCAGATAGGTCCCTGCCACCAGAGAAGTGGAGGGCAGGGGCACAGAACAGGCCTCATCTTCAGCCACATCCCCCTGCCCCTCCCACAGGGAACCCTCGGGCTTGGCTGGGGAGCTGGCTGAGCCCGCCCAGCCCTGCCCAGTCTCCCACTGGGGCTCTGAGCAGGTGCAGGGTCGGGGAGGCAGGAGCACCAGGCCCAGCCAGGCTGGGGCTGCCAGAACCGCACTGACCAGCCACCCAGCATGGGAGGCACCCAGCTCCCCTCTGCCCTGCAGGGGCTGGGCCCAGCCTGACCCCAGACCGGCGATCGCTGGGCTCAGCACAAAGCGTCTGGGCTGCTCACCAGCACTTCTGGACTATCGATCCAGGCCAGGGAGGCATTGAGTGAGGAGCAGGAGTTCTGGCCATTGGTCCAATCCCCTTGGGCCTTAGAAAAATAGAAACATTCCCTCTGGATCTTGATCCAGTCGTCAGGGCAGCAGGCAGCAGGGAGACCTGGAGGAGAACACATGGCTCAGGGCTGGGGAGGAGAACACACGGCTCAGGGCTGGCTCTGGAGCCACAGGCGGCTCCTTGCACAGGTGCTGACTCAGTGGCTGGAGCTACAGGAACAAACTTTCTAATATGCCAGGGGTGCTCACAGGCCCCACCTCTGCCCCACTGCACCCCTTCCAGCAAGCGCCCTATCTTTGATGCCCCCTCCCTGAGCTTGCCGCTCCCTTGCACCTCCCCTTGCCTAGTCTCCTGCACAGGACAAAACAGCTGATCACAGTGGGCAGGAGCACAGGCCTGGAGCTAGGTTCAGGGGGCTGCTCCCCACCCCAGGCTTGGAGTTTCACTTCACACACAGTTCACCATTTGAGGAATGGCTCCCAGCACGTACAACATGTTCCAGCGCCCCTGGGCAGGGAGGGGGGGAGGATTGCTAGTGGGTAGGAGACACGGGGGGAAGCGGAGGAGCGCTGGTGATGTATCACTCTGGCTCCCTTGCAATAGAAGTTGGTAAATTCTGGCTCCTGCTCAGGCTGCCCCCTCCTCTCGCCGACATACAGTCTCCTTCTCAAAAGGGCACCCAGGGCGAGAGCTCGTCCCTTCCCGTCTCTCCGTGGGGAACACACAGGCACAGCCTGGATCTCACTAGTGGGCCACCGGGCTGCTCCGAGAGCTGCCAGCACCAGCCGCTTCACAGACACGACGCCCCCTAGTGGGCCGTGGTGGGCTGGCTGGCCCCAGGGAACTTGGGCCAAGTGCCGCCAGAGGCCGGCCAGGCCCCAATGTAGGAAGGTTCCTATTTGCGCAAGTCGTACCCTGACCCAGAGAACAGGCTGCCTGGGGAATGGGGACACGTCTGTCAGGGGCTGGCTCCTGGCCGGAGGCAGGTGGGTTTGTGCCCCTTAGACCTTGTGTCTCCCAGTGTAACCGCGCAGGGTCCCTTCTCCACATCACTGTCCAGTGCTTCCATGAATCCTGCTGAGCTCCCGGCCTCAGGAACAGCCCGTGGCTATGAGTGACCCTGGGCACACAGCATTAGTTGCACGTCAGAGGCCGTAACACAAGATGGGGGGTGTCACGTTACTGGATTTTATAATAAGCAGACAGATGACTGCTGCGCCCACCGGGGAGGGGGAGGGTGTCTCCCCCAAAGTCTATACAAAGGGGAACATGTGTGGGAGAAAAATCAAATAACTCCAATTGTGCAGGACTGTGCAGGAAATCAAAACTTTCTAAAAGAAAACTGCTGTAAGGGTTAAAAGTTTTCCAGGCCTCTCTCCCTGTAACAGAGAGAAATCAAATTAGGTCTAATCAAGACCCTTACAATGCCTGCTATCTCAACTTCATGAAGACTCCTAGTCTGTCACAATTTGTCATGTAAACTCTTATCTTTGTCACAGTTTGCCTTGTAGGCTCCTCACTCAGGTTCTCATGTGCTGTTGTACTGTAAACTTACTTCTAGCATACTCAGAGTACTTCTGCTGAGACTTTGATATGTTAAAGAAAACAATCAACAACTAAACAATCTGAGCATACTGTATAAAGGATCCCTGAACCTGTCTCAGGGCTGCTGCTGCTCACTCTGGTAGCTGTCAGCCTGCATGCATGCATAATAAAGTTTTCCTTCTAGGTTTCTCTCCTGCCTCACTGCTTTGATCTCCAGTCTCGGACCCTTCTGGGGGCTCTGTACCCCAAGGGAGCGAGATTTCCCGCACACATGTGAGGTGTCAAATGAAAGTGTGTTCTACTGATTCTGTACATGCTACTCGTGTACTTGTGTGGTGTTTGTATGCGGAGTTATGAATAGGGGCTCTGTGCTGGTGCTGTGAGTGTTCTCTGTCTGAGACACAGCAATGGCCTGGACTGGCTGTGGTAAGGCAGGAATGTCCCATGAATGACTGTGCTAACTTGCATGGCTTCAGGGACAATGGCTCTCAGAGAGGCCAGTACACACCTGAGGAACGTGTCTGAAAACGTGCAAACCAGGCAGGGTATAATGGTGTCTGGCATGTGCAACAGAGACAGGTCACTTGACCATGTGACCCACTCCAGCATGGGAGGTAACAGGAATGAAAATAAATAAATAAAGTGCCATGAGGCGAACTCCATCTTGTCTTCAATTCTGCTACTGATCCCAGAGGCAGCCTGGTGAGGGAGAGCGAGCCGGGAAGGATTTGTTGACTCATCCTGACACAGAATGTACACCAGAGACATTTAATCTAGCAGTTTGTAACATCTTTGCTTAGAGCCTGCATCGAGAACTAGGAGATTGGTGCATGTGATGTATTCTCCTTAACAACCTTAGTCTCCACCTTTTATTTCTTTTCTTAATAACCCTTTAGATTTTAGATTCCAAAGGATTGACCAGCGTGATCTTGGGGGTAAGATACGGAGTGTAAATTGACCTGGGATCTGTGGCTGGTTCTTTGGGATTGGGAAAATCCACTTGGGGTAGATGAGATCAGGTTCTATAATTCCTCAGTTGTTTGCAAGCCCAGCGCTGATTGTGGCACGGGGGAGCTGGGGTGTCTAAGGGGTTTTGCTTGTGAGGCTTCCTAGTGGTCAGACTGGCAGTAGAAGTGCTCAGCATGACTGGTTTGTGGCCTGTTTGGGGAAGGTCTCCAGTCGACAGCTGTAAATAGCCCTGGTTTTGAGCAATTCACCCTGAGCGGATGCCCTCAGTGGTGCCCAGACCCAGCCCGGCCCGTCACAGAGGGAGACATTTAAGAGAGATGCAGCAATTCAGACAGTGCTACGGAATGGCCGGTGGTGGGAATACATGACTGGGAAGGACCTTCTGGTCCTGACACTGAGGGTCTTGCTCCCAAAAAATATTTAAATCTGGATTCAGGTTTCTTGCTGCAGGTGAAGCTTATTCATGGGGGAATTCAGCACCACAGCCCGTGTACATTCTTTGTTTCCCCACAGAAAAACATGGGGAGACAAAGGGAAGTTGCAGCACAGGGGGAAAACTCTGGAGGGTAGGGAGGGAGCTTGAGCAGCACTGGACAGCGGCTCCTACCCTGCAACGGACTCTGTTTCTTCCTCTGCAAGGAGCAGCCTGGATCTGTCAGACCTGCCCCCAGAAGCCTTCCCAGCTGCAGTAGGCTCCACAACAAGCCCTGTCTTCCTCCCTTCACTGATCCTCAGCCATGGAGAGAGGGGTGAGAGTACAAGGAGCTGCTCCCCCATCTGCCCAACCCCCATGCACTTACATTCCTCCTGCAGACTCCTATTGCTCCTGCACCCAGAACCTCTGTGTGTCAAGATCCCCCTGAACCTGGTCCACCCCCCAAGTTGCTGACACCCAAACTTTGACACACAGAAGCTGGTCGACCCATAACTGGATCCCCTCCATTTCCACGTGGATCCTTCTGTGCTCAGACTGCCTGCCCCCCAGGCGTGCCTGTGTGCCAGAGAGCAGGGCATCCTCTGTAGCTGCACTGAGCCCCTGCCCAGGGGAGTTAAAGAAGGACGTCCCACCTCACTGCCGTAGTGACCTGCGCTCCCCACTGCTGGGCCCGAGCCGCAACATTTATGTGGGAAATTAAATGTCCAGAATTTTAAACTCTTGGCTGCTTGTTGGACACAGCTCTCCTGCTAACGAGCACTGGGATCTCCTCAGTACAGCGTGTGGTTCCTAGCACTGCCTTTCCGTGCCACGTTTTGTCCCTCAGACCACGTCCATTCCTCTAGCGCTCCCAGTTAGGAACGTTCTGGGGGTCAGATGCCCCAGCAGAGACAGCCAAGGAGCTCTCGATACCAACAGCCTGGAGCAGGTTTCCCTCCTCACCCATCTCGTGTAGCAGTGACAGAGCCCCTGGGACACGGCCACACCCCAGAGCTCACTACGCTGGAGCAGGATGTGGGAGCACAAGCGCCTCTTCTAATAGCCCAGCAAACAGCACCTGGACCCTGCTCCAGCTGCCAGATCCTCCTCCACCCTGCCCTATTGATACCCGGGAGCAATGCAAGGGGCTGCAATCACCCCTCCCGTGTGCATCCACTGGGCAAGTTGAACATCCCAGGGGAGCCTTCCCTTTGGAGAGTCCTGGGGCTACAGCCTCAGCAGCACTACTGCCGGGGTAGGGCTCTCTACAGAGCAGATCCCCACAACTTAATAAAGCCTGGCCCAGTGATGCTGCAGCCCCTGCCAGCCCGGCTGTGGGATAACCGAGGAGCGGGGAGGCAGGAAGGGTCAGTCGGAACCCCCAGAGCACCGAGCTGCAGACAAGTCACCCTGCTCAGTGACAATCAGACAGGGGATCCATGGGAGAAGCTGCCACCTGCTGGGCTCCTGCCCCCCTCGCTCCTTCTGCTCCCCCAGCTCCTTTCTATAGCCCAGGCCTATTGTGTGGCCTTGAGTCTCGCAGAGGCAAAGACTCCAAGCACTGAATCTTGGAGGAAGCAGGAACTTACCTTTAAAACGATTTTCTTTACCACTTCTAGAGCCTATTGCGTAGCCAGTCCCTCCGCACACGACTGCTATTAAGACAATCCCTACAGCGCTCCAAAGAGCTGTATGTTTCCTGAAGCAGAGGAGAACCTCACGACCTGGAAGACAAAAGCCGTTAATGCTCCTGGGAAGAGGGAGACCAGAGCAGTTTGCCATCAGGCTCTCATCTGACCCACACCAGGTCTGTATTGTCATTTCTAAACTGGTTCTGTCCCTGCTCTTGACACAAATATTAACCTGAGCTGCTGTAGCCAATTATTCATATACTAGCCAATTAGCCCATCATAAAACGGGATTTTCAGGTCTCTCCTCCACGTCCTGTTCCCTTTCTATCTCAGTCTTCTCTCCTGAGCCTCCGGTCTCCCACTCCCTCTCCCTCCCCTCCTACTGCCTCTCTCTCCGTCTCTCTTTCGCTTCTCGCCCTCCTGTCTCTCACTCTTTCTCTTCTTCTCCTCCTCCTGCTTTTCACTCTCTCTCTCTCTCTCTCTCTCTCTGTCTCTTCCTCTCCTCCTCCTGCATGGGGAGCATGGAGCCCAAACAGCCGCTTGCTCCTGCACGGCAGCCCGACTGAGCGGTGCAGAAGTCAGCCAAGTGCCATGGTGGGAGGCAACAGCGCTGCCTTCGCTTCTCGCCCTCCTGTCTCTCACTCTTTCTCTTCTTCTCCTCCTCCTGCTTTTCACTCTCTCTCTCTCTCTCTCTCTCTCTGTCTCTTCCTCTCCTCCTCCTGCATGGGGAGCATGGAGCCCAAACAGCCGCTTGCTCCTGCACGGCAGCCCGACTGAGCGGTGCAGAAGTCAGCCAAGTGCCATGGTGGGAGGCAACAGCGCTGCCCAGAGGGAACAGCCAGCATTTCAGCGTTAGAGTCACAGATGTTGGGCTACTATATATATGATTGTGTAGTGTAGTGATTATGTTACAGCACATCATTTCACTTTATGGCAATTGGAGAGGATTTGTAAGATTCTCTCTCTATAAATATATAAAGGAGAAGGCTGAGGGGCCAGGAGTGGGGACCAACAAGCTAGAGCTGGCGCAGCTCCGGCCGTCTCCTCCCCAGCAGCTGGGGGTGGGCAGTGACTGGGGCTGGCTGTGTCTGAAAACGGGACTGAGGGGACGGAGAGGCCGGGGATGAGTGTGGCCAGGGGATGGAGGGACCGAGAGGCCAGGAAAAGACTAACAAGATGGTTTAATAGGTAATAAACTTTCCTGGGGAAAGCTCATCACTATGAAGGACCATTATAAATGTTCTGGAAAAACTGGAGAAATGGTCTGAGGTAAACAGGATGAAATTCAATAAGGACGAATATGGAGGAACAATCAGTTTCATACATATAAAATGGGAAGGGACTGTCTAGGAAGGAGTACTGCAGAAAGGGATCTAGGGGTCATAGTGGAAATATGAGTCAACTGTTGCAAAAAACCCAAACCTGATTCTGGGATACATTAACAGGAGTGTTCTAAGCAAGACACGAGAAGTCATTCTTCCACTCTACTCTGCTCTGATTAGGTCTCAACTGGAGTATTATGTCCAGTTCTGGGCACCACATTTCAGGAAAGATGTGGAGAGATTGAAGAAGATCCAGAGAAAAGGAACAAGAATAATTAAAGGTCTAGGAAACATAACCTATGAGGAAAGACCGAAAACATTAGGCTTGTTTAGTATGTTGGGGGAAAAAAGATGGAGAGGGGTCATGATAGCAGCTTTCAAGTACTTAAAAGGTTATAGGGAGTAGGGGAAAAAATCGTCCTCCGTGACCTCTGAGGACAGGACAAGAAACAATGGGCTTAAACTGCAGCAAGGGAGGTTTAGACTGGATATTAGGAAAAAGTTCCTAACTGTCGGGGGGTTAAACCCTGGAATAAATTGCCCAGGGGAGTTGTGGAATCTCCATCTCTGGAGATATTTAAGAGCAGGTTGGACAGACACCTGCCAGGGATGATCTAGAAGGTGCTTGGTCCTGCCATGAGTGCAGGGGACTGGACTTGATGACCTAATCCTGGAATACAGGTTGTGTGTGTCAACGTTAATGAGAATAAGGGAACTTACGCAGCCTACAGAAAACTGATGTGTTATCCATTTCCTGGCGATGCTGACCTAGGAAAGAAAAGAGAGTGGATACATTTAAGTATATGTTCAGAATGTCTGTACAGAACTTCTTTAAGCCTGGGCAATCATAGTTTTAACTGTTACTTTAATAAAGCTTACAAAATAGCCTCCACCTTGTACTGGTGAATGTCTATGTGGTCACTGCCCTGGATCTTACTATGTTCTCAATGACTCTAAATTTGAAGCAAGTAACAAAGGTGACTCACGCTGTTAAGCTTGTAAGTGTAGCTGTGGCAGCTAAACCCACGGTGATGTCAAGCCACATGACAAAATTTACCTTCATAAAAAAATTAAAAGGCTACAGACTGGCACCCTTGGTGGCCCTAGAGAACATATAAGAACGGCCGTACTGGGTCAGACCAAAGGTCCGTCTAGCCCAGTATCGTGTCTGCCGACAGTGGCCAACAACAGGTGCCCCAGAGAGGGTGGACCGAAGACAATGATCAAGCAATTTGTCTCCTGCCATTCCTCTCCAGCCTCTGACAAACAGGTCCTAGCCTTCACAGCCTCCTCTGGCAAGGAGTTCCACAGGTTGACTACACGCTGTGTGAAGAAGAACTCTCTTTTATTAGTTTTAAACCTGCTCCCCATTAATTTCATTTGGTGTCCTCTAGTTCTTCTATTAGGGGAACTAATAAATAACTTTTCTTTATCGGCCCTCTCCACGCCACTCATGATTTTATAGACCTCTATCATATCCCCCCTCAGTCTCCTCTTTTCTAAACTGAAAAGTCCCAGTCACTTTAACCTCTCCTCATATGGGACCCGTTCCAAACCCCTAATCATTTTAGTTGCCCTTTTCTGAACCCTTTCCAAGGCCAAAATATCTTTTTTGAGGTGAGGAGACCACATCTGTACACAGTATTCAAGATGTGGGCATACCATAGTTTTATATAGGGCAGTAAGATATTCTGGGTCGTATTTTCTATCCGTTTCTTAATAATTCCTAGCATCCTATTTGCCTTTTTGACCGCCGCTGCACACTG